GGGGGGGGGGGGGGGGGGCGAAACTTCCTATTAAGGGCACGGCGGCCGCGGGCCCGCAGCTCTGCGGCGCCGCCATGGCGGGGCCCTCCCTCGCTCCCTCCCTCGGGCCGCGGCTGCGCGCTCGGGGCGGCGGGAAGCGCCGCTGCCTCCGCTGCACCTGCCGCCGCCGCCGCCGCGGGGGAGGGTGATGCGGGCGGCACCCGGGGCACCCCGCCCGCACCCCCGCCGCGACACCCGCGCCGCGCTCACCCACGCTCCGGTAGCCCAGGATCGCGATCTTGCGGGACTTGGACGGCGGCATCTTCTCCCCCGCCCGGCCCCGAACCACATCAAGGGCGGCGGCGGCGGCTGCGGCGGAGGGTGGCGGCGGGCGGCTGTGGAGGCGCGGGGCGCGGCGCCAGCGACATGCGGGGGGCGCGGGGGGAGCTGCGGCGGCCGGAGCGCGCTCGGGACGCGCGGCGCTGGCAGCGGCGGGGCCGCACCACGTGACCGCCGCCGCCGCGCGCCGGCCCCGCGTACGCACCTGCGCGTCACAGGAAAAAAACTCCCTGCGTCACCCCCGCCCGGCGCGCGCCCCCCTCCCGCCCGCCGATTGGCCGGCGCGGCGGCGGCGGCGGGCGGGGATTGGCCGGGGAGCGGCAACGGCCACGTTCGAAGGGGAGGGGGCGGGGCCGGGCGGGCAAGGGCGAGCGGGGACACGGGCGGGGGGAAGGGGTGGAAGAGGCGCGCGCCAAGGCCCCGCGCGCGTGCGCGCGCAGCGTGCGGCGGTTGGTGCGTCCCGCGCGCGCCGCTCGGGCCCGGGCCCGGGCCCGGCCCCTTTCCCGGTCTCCGTCACCGAGACCATCCCCATCCCAGTCCTGTCCCCGTCCCCTTCCCCATCCTGTCTCCACCCCCATCCTAGTCCCTATCTCCGTGCTCCCCATCCCTGTTCCTATCCCTGTGCCTATCCCTGTCCTGGTCCCTACCTCCGTCCCTGCCTCCATGTCTGTCCTTATCTCCTTCCTCCTCTCCTTCCTCTCCCAGTCCCCATCCCCATCCCTGTTCCCGTCCCCATCCCAGGGGCTCCTCCGCGGGCCATGGGATCTGTCCCGAGGCCCTCAGGCCGGGCTTGTTTGAATCTCAATTTATCTCGGTGCCTCTTCAGCGCGTTCCCCGTGCTGCAGATGATATATGGAGAAACGTCGTGCCCCAGCGTCGATAAAGTGCTGGGAAGTGCATGGAAGGGAAGGTGGCGAGGCATTTGGGAGTTCGGGAATGGTTAGCTCTGAGATCCAAGCGGTGGAGGGTTTTCTGCTTTGAAAAGAGGGCTGCGTGTACTGGTGGTGACTGCAACACTGAGTGGATGCAGAGTGAAAAGGAGAAAGACACGAAGACAGGAAAGTGGTATTTCCCCCCTCTACTACTGATTTTGAACACTTTGGGTTAATATCTACCCTTTACACATTTTCTTGGAAAATTAATGTTAGAACTAGTTTTTCTAATGTGCATCCTATCTTTTTGGGGAACACAGATACCTAACATGCAATTACTCCAGGGTACAACAAACCAACCTAACAGCTGGATGATGTTAAGGGGCATGGATTGGCTTCTCCCTGATCTCACCCATCCATTCCCACATGTTCTTCTAACCTGGTGAGAGGGCGGGGAACTAAATCAAAAGAAAACCATTTGTACACAAAAGTGATTTGCTTCTGGGAGAGCAGACAGGCTTTTAGGAGATACCTGCATTTCTTGGGATAATCTAATTATACCCTTCGTCTTCTGGATTATGGGGTTTTACAGGACAAGTGCTGGTAGCCTGTTAAACAGCAGGAATAACAGCTTTCAGTGAATAGGTACATGATGGAAGGATAGTTATTTTATGAGGGAACCATGGGGGTTTTGTACTTTCTCAGTGATGGCTGTGGTGATATAACTCTGCATGCTCATTCTCTGTGTCCAGACTCCCAGGTCATCACAGCCCTCGAGCATCACCCCATAGGTACTGGTGAGATCTGGTGGGCCTGCAAAAAAGCAGCAGCCTTTTTTGGCTTTTTTGGAAATTCAGCATTTGTAAACAGGGATCCTGTTCAAAGCTCCCCAAGAGGTGCTGAGAGACAGCCCTGCCCGATGTACAGCACCTTATTCCTCTTTGTTTTGTGTCTTGTAAAAGACACAATTGTTTATGAAGGACATGAGGATTGCAGTAGCCATGATCCTGCAGGACCAGCCCTTGGAGCTGTGCCATCATCTTTACATTCACTCCCTCTGGAACCATGCCATGGTCCAAAACTTGGGCTTTTTACTGAGCCAGAAAACTGAGAGGACTGAGATAAGAATTAGCTTCTAATGATATACATGGATTTGGAAAAATAGCTGAAGTTTGTGGTAGTTATGTTTTCAGCTTCAATCTCCTTACAGTTCTTATTACTTGCCTATCATACTTTGGCATTGGACTTTTTACTCTGGTGAAACCTAGTTTGTATTTTCAGGCTATATTTCCATACTCCTCCACATGCTCAGAGTGGTGAGCATCAGCATTTTTTTTCATTTGTGGGAGTTTCTGGTTTTGTTCCCTCCACTTCTTTTGATCAGGTCTTTTCCCTTATTCTCTTTTTTTCTTATCCCACTCTCCTTATGGAGCTGTGTCTATTTATTTATCTAGTTTCTATTAACTTGTCCCTGGCTCACTCTGCTTGGAGAGTTCACTACTGCAGGGTTTCTGTTTCTGTCCCTTTAACTGGTTTTATTGCCTCAAATTGCAATGGAGTTGTCTCACTTTAGGATTATTGTCAGCAGCAACACTTGTCCTTCCTGTGCATGGGTTTATTTTGAAGAAAAACCTTTAACTTCCTTTTCTTCCACTGTTCCTTTGGAGAGAATTGGCTAATTCCTCCAGCAGGATCCTGTAAGTGCTTCATTTTGTGTTGGCTGCGACACTGGGAATACAGGGAAATACAGAGTTTTCAGGAAAGGTTGTTGTGTTTCCATGCTGTAGGGCTGGGTGACACTGCTGATGGCCTTTGGCAGCATTCTGGGATGCTGCTACTCAAGTGGCAGCAGCTTAAGCAGAGATGAGAGGATCTGGAGTGTGGTAAGGCTGTTACTGCATTTCTCCTGCCCAGGTGAAATCTAAACACTTCTGGAGTGCTTTGAGCACAAGGCCAGCACACCTGTGGCTGATGTGAATGTCTAACCCAGGCACTGTGCATTATCTGAACTCTTATTGTTTATATATTTAGGGCTGAACACCTCACACACCAAGTGTCCCTTTGCTGAACTCCTCTCCCCATGGTAACAAGCCAGGTGTGATGCTCAGGTTGTGTTTTCCTAGGGCAGTGTTCCATATGTTATGAATGGGCCAGGAGACCAGCTTCTTTAAAAAAGGCCTTTATTAAACAGGACAGCTCTGGGGTGGGGGCCCGCGCACACCGCCACTGCTCCCACTGGACACCGCAGAAGAGAAGGATCCGTGCAGCTTGGTCACTAGGGCAGAGCTGGGCCTTCCTTCCTCACCGGAGTCCCTAGGAAGACTCATTTCCTTGGCCTCGTAGTCTAGGGTGTCATCCTAGTTGAGTCCCCTCTTGGTTATGTGGGCCCTTGGAGGGAAGTCAGGGGACTCCTCTGGGTCTTCCTCGTTCAATGGTACTGTTTTTATTCCTTTTAGTGTGGCTCGTTGTCTCTGGGTTTTTTATCAGTCTGTGTGCGTCCCATGAGTCTGGTTTCTCTCGTTTACATGAAAGTCCTTATGTCATCCTCCTCCTCAGGGACCAGCTGAACAGCAACCTGGGGCAGGGGTACAAGGTAAGGGGTTTACAAACAGTAACTGTAACATGGCTAACAATCTTCTAATTATTCTTAACACATAGCATCAGTTGCATTAGGAATTAGGGCTCTGCCTACATTCCCTGCTCCTGCTGCAGCCTCCTGACGTCTACAATGTTTGCAAATTGTGAGCTCCAAGGGAGTTCAGAGAACTGTGGGACAAGTGACATACCCTGTGTGCCTCTGCACTGGCTGCACTCCAGGCCTTTTCCCTGTCTCCCTCTGCCAGGTACTCCCTCAAGTCAAACACAGCCTTGGGATCAGTTCAGATGAGAAATGACATTAATGTTATGGTAAATGAGATAAGATGCTCAAAGAGTGCAACACATCAACTGAAAGACAAGATACCAAAGGGGAAAACAGCAAGCAGGGGTAGAGTGAGTGTCTGTCAGGGTGTTGAGGAAGGCTGGACAAACGGTGCATGACTTCCTTTTGTTGCCTGTATGTACTTTTTCCTGATGGAGAAAGAACCACAATAGATTTCACATAGTAAAGGTAACTCAACAGTCAAGTATTTTTACAGTAATTTTTACAGTACGTGCAAACCCATGGCCACCTGGCTACTGAGCTCCCAAATGCAGAACAGCTCTGACTCGTACTTTCAATTCCTGCAGCAGCAATTACCATCACAATTACCTGCTCTGTCCTTCAGCAAAGCGGGGCCTCCCCAAAGAGTGTTTTGAAGTGTGTCCAGTGTTTGCACTGGGCGTGCTTCCACAGGCACAGCACAGCCCCTGCTGCCCGCAGAGGTTACAAAGTACATTCAGTTCAGTCTTGCTCTTGTTTCTGCTCCCTCCTGCCTTTGCACAGTGAGTGTGTTTTGCAATATTCAGCTAGAAACACTGGCAAAATATTAGTAGAAGCAAATTAAGGGACTAATTCAGTTCAGAGGGGCTGCTGACACCATGGGTTGATACCCTACAGGTCATGGTGTGCAGCTGGCAGGGACACACATTCCACAGGGTTTTTTCTAAAGGAATGAGTTTGATGTGTGAGTACAGGTCACCTCCTGCCCATTCACTTCAGCAGGAACAGGTCTGACTGCAACAACCACCAGAAAACAAATGAGTACCAAGAAAGCGACTTTCAAAACCACATTTAAATTAAGTCCTGAAGTGAAGAGTAAAGAGCAGTGTCTGCAGAACATTCTTTTTGCATAAATGCATTATGTGGGTACAAGGGTAGCATTAAATTGTCCGGAATGGCATTTTCCCCTGGAAATTACCCTTAATAAGTGTTCAATATGGGTGAAAGTTCACAGAAACTTTAGAAGTAAACTGGTTACTTCTAAAGCTGCCTGCAGAACTCGGTGGGAGCAGTTACAGGGCCTGATTGAGAGAGGATTAAGCACGTGTGGTTTCACTTCTAGTTGGACCAAAACTGAAAAACTCCAACTTACCCATACACTCATTCTAAAAATGGCAAGGAGTGTTCTCCATGTGGAGTTTTGGAACTGCTTCAGTCAGATTCCTCCTGTCTGCCATGAGGACAAGAGCTCAGGCCTTGGAAATCAAGGCTTGTTCTTTCTGTTTTAATCCAACATTCCCAGCACAACAGTATCCCTTAATAAAAGATGAATAGGTCTCTGATACACAACAATTGGAATTCACTTCCTAGCAAAGAGCAAATACTGTCTGATATCAGACCTTTTACCTAAAGGAATCCAAAAGTAAAACAGGAAAAT